TAAAAGACTCAGAAATTAACAGGAATAATCTTCATTTTTCATTTTTAAGTTCTATAAATCTAATATGGCAAACATATGTACACAAAAAACTAAAATCAATTCATTCAAGGGTTACTGAGTGCTTATTAAGTGCCAAGATTTGTTGGCTCTAGAAGTATAGCAGAGAACAAGCCCTTGTGAACCTTAAAATCTGGTGAGAATGTGCTGTTATTCTGGAAGTATGTAGTACCACTAGTTCTTCTTCTAGGGAGTAGGGACCACAGAGAGACAAAGTAAATGCTTACCACGCAGAGGATGAGACATGGAACCAGAAATGATACCATATCAGGTATCTCCTTATCGGGAGTTTTTATTTTCTCCTGAGCTTCCTGGAGCATGTTTAAGCATTAGGGTGACATCATTAGTTTGGTATTATAGAAAGACAACATTGGCAACATGAAGGATGAATTATAGTGATCACAATCAAGAGTGTTGTTTTGAGAATTATCCCAAAGTCTGAGGAAGAAATGATCAAGGTCCACAATAGGATAGTGGCAGGATATGTGGGATAGAATTTACTATTGAATTTGATGGCTACGAAGAGAGGGAAACTCAAAGATGAGAAGGTTTTTTCATTTGAATTGGAAGAGGAGTTATGGAAAATACTCTTAAATTCCCATTAAGCGTATTTCTTCTTACTTTTGAACACACAACCAGATTACATATCTCAGCCTCCCTTACAGCTAGGTGTGACTGAATTTTGGTCAAAGGAGTGAGTGGAGATGATGAGCACCACTTTCAGTCTTAATAAAAATCTCTCCTGGTCTTTCTTCCATTCTCTTCTCCTATCAGCTGTATGTCAGTGTGAGGATGATAAAAAGAAGAGCTTCTGTTAGCCTGGATTCCTGAAAGAAGAGCTCACATCCCTTTATCCATTGATTGGGGCTTTACATCAGTAAAAAATAAACATATTATGTTAAGCCACTAAGATTTGGGGATTTACCCAGAAGCTAGGGTTAACTTAACTAATACAATGGTGATGCCAAAATAGAGATTCAGGAGCAGAAGCTGATGCAGTGGTAGAGTTTAATTTAGGTCATATTTAGTTTGAGATTCTTTTGACACTTCCAAGCAGCTGGAAATAGTAGTTTAAGATCAGAAGAGAGCAAGAAGCAAAGATTTAAAATTCTGGGCTGCAAGTGACTGAAGCCTTGGTCCTAACTGATGTAACAGAAGGGGCATAGGGGCAGAAAAGATGAAGGTGTAGGATGGGGAATATCTGAATGTATAGGAATGCAGGGGGGAAAAAGAGGAATCAGAAAAGAACACCTTCTCAAAAAAATTTTTATGATTATTACTTTATACAATAAACCAAATAGTTGCTCTTAGAACACTGTCTTTCTAAGAATGACTTACCCTTGTTAAACTGATAGTCATATAAGCCATATTACTGCCTCTGCTATTAGAAGATTGAATTCAGTGAATTCCTTAATGTTCTGTTTCCTTCCCACACCGTAAGCTCTAAAATTCAATAAAACCATCCCTCCAGCCAAAATGCCAAAATTCATTTAAATATTGTAAAAGCTTCGAAACCAACAAGTGGCCCCTGATGAATTCTGACACATAATCTCTTTGGTCCTCAGACCTTGTCTATACTGTGTCATCAACTTTCTAATGTTTGATCCCTTTCAAAATGCTTTCGCATGTGTTATTCATTTGATGCCCCTAACAAATCCATAAGGTTGGATGCAGCTGAGGCTCCAGAGATGCTGACAAATGATCAAAGGGGACTGTTACCTTAGTACAGGACCCATGTCAAAACAAAGCCCATCCCAGGAAGCAGAATAACTGTCTCCCAAGGATATCTGTAAGAAAAATATACCCATTTAAAAATGCTGTTTCAGTGCTATAGGGGGTTGTCCATTCATCCAGCCCCTGCAGTTTGTAAGTCTCACAAGTCTTTTTAATGTGACATCAGGGGACATCTTGCTTCCTGACTCACAGTCTGAGTCACTGTCAATGATCCCCCCAAAGAGAGTGAGCAAGTGATGAAGGGTGCATCCTAGACAGCAGAAACAACCATTTATTTGATAGTTGCAGTGGCCTTTGTCATAATGGCTTTCAGTAGTTTCAAATATATTTTGATTAACTCCTCACCAGATAGGGGTTATGCATTTACTTGACTAAATGAAGTGGCTATTTTGAAATATTTCTGATTTAACTCGTCTTCTTTTTTTTAAGATTTTTTATTTATATATAGAGAGAGAGACAGAGAGAGCACAAGCATAAGGAGAGGGAGAGGGACAAGCAGACTCCCCACTGAGCGAGGAGTGCAGAGCCAAATGTGGGGCTTGACCCCAGGACCCTGAGACTATGACCTGAGCCGAAGTCAGACAATTGATCAATTGAGCCACCCAGGCACCCCTTAACTTGTCTTCTAATAGAAGTACAAGTCAAATAAAACCAACATTCAGATGAGTTCTCAGAAAGTCTCACTTTTGTTTAGACCATCTCTTCTAATATCTTCAAATATTATTCTAAAAAGACCAAATTTCTTTTTTTTTTTTAAAGTAGGCTCCATGTCCAGTGTGGAGCCCAGTGTTGGCCTTGAACTCATGACCCTGAGATCAAGACCTGAGATGAGATCAAGAGTCAGACACTTAACTGACTGAGCCACCCAAGTGCCACTAAAATGATCAAATTTCTACACAGATGATTCTATGTGTCAACTTGGCAAAACTATGGTGACTGTTATTTAGTCAAACACTAGTTTACTGTTGCTGTGAAGGTATTTTTTGATGTGGTTAACATTTAAAATCAGCTGACTTTAAGGTGAGCAGATTACCCTCCATTACATGGGTAGGCCTCATTCAATTGGTTGAAGATCTTAAGAGCAAAAGCCAAAGTTTGCCAAAGAAAGAATTCTGCCTCCAGACTACAACATAGAAATTCTGCCAGAGCTTTCAGCCTTTAGACTCACAACTACACCATCAACTCATACCTGAATCTTCAGCCCACCAGCTTGCCCCACAGATTTTGAACTTGCTAGTCCTGAAAATGGCAATTTTCTCACACACCCCTTTTAATAAATTTAACATCCTCTATTCAAACATTATCCCTGTCCAAAGTAGTCATGCAGTGTCATTCAATGTACTTTCTCTTAAGCCTTTTAAAACATATTGAGAAGGTGGTAGAACCACACAAAAAAGAAATTATTGTCCTTGTTCTCATTTGTTATGAGGAATGTTTTTTGGTAGGAAGCACTTGAAAGATACTTTTCTGTAAGAATATATCCACGATATATTAGTCAGGGTGCTCCAGAGAAACAGAACAAAATTTATGATCTCATTTAACCTTAATTACCTCCCATTAAATGCCTTAGCTTCAAATACAGCCACATTGAGGGGTTAGGGCTTCAACATATGAATTGGCAGGGACACAATTCAGTCCATAACACACTTTAAGAAAATAGAAAAAAAAAAGAGCAAATTAAACCCAAAACTAACAGAGGGAAAGAAATAATGAAGATTAAAGGAGAGATAAATGAAATCACAAATAGAACAAGAGAATCAATAAAACAAAATATTTGTTCCTAGGGGAAAAAAATCAACCAAATTGACAAACTTTAGCTAGACCAAGAAAGAAAGAAAAAGGAGAAGATGCAAATAGCTAGAATCAGAAATGAAAATAGGGACATTACAACCAATTCTACAGAAATTTAAAAAAATAAAAAGAATACTATAAATAATTGTCCACCAATAAACTAGATAACCTAGATGAAATGAACAAAGTCCTAGAAACATACAATTACCAAAACTGACTCAAGAGGAATAGAAAATCTGAATAGACCTTTAACAAGTAAAGAGATTAAATCAGTGATTAAAAAAAAAAGAAAGAAAGAAAAACCTCCTGACACGGAAAAGTCCAGGACCAAATGGCTTCACTTGTGAATTCTACCAAACATTTAAAAAGAATTAAAACCAATACTCCTCAAACTCTTCCAATAAAAAGCAGAAGGGAACATTCCCTAATTTATTCTATGAGGCCAATTTTACCCTATTACTGAAGACACTTCAAGAAATGTTCCCTATGAATATACATTAAAAAATCCTCAGAAAAAAAAATACTATCAAAGTCCAGCAGCATATTAAAAGAATTATATATCATGACCAAGTGCAATGTATCTCGGGAATGCATGAGTGATTCAGTATGTGAAAAGCAATGCTATATGAAGGGGAAAAAAACACATGATCATCTCAGTTGATGCAGAAAAGGCATATGACAAAATCCAACACTTTTTAATGATTATAAAAAAAACACTTAATACACTAGGAAAACAAGGAAACTTCCTTAAGCTGATAAAGGACACATACGGAAAACCCACAATGATCATCATATTTAATAGTGAAAGACTAAAGTTTTCACCCAAAAATCAGGGAAAGTAAGGATGCCTGCTTTCACCACTTCTTCAGCATTATACTGGAAGTTCTAGAGAGAGAAATAGGTAAGATAAAGAAATAAAAGCATACAAATTGAAAAGTAAAACTATCTGTATTTACAGATGCCATGATCCTATATATAGAAACTCTAAAGAATCCACAGAAAGACTATTACAACTTATCAATTAGCAATTGATTTCACAAAGTTGAAGGATACAAGAATCAGTTTTATTTCTACACACCAGCAATGAATAACCCAAAAAGAAAATTAAGAAAAAAATTCCATTTACAATCACATCCAAAACTATAAAATACCTAGAAATAAGTTTAATCAAGCCTGCAGTACACTAAAAACTGCTAAAAGAAGTGGAAGAAATCTAAATAAATGGAAAGCTACCCCTTGTTCTGGGCTCGAATAGTTAATATTTTTAAGATGATGACCCAAAGCAATCTACATATTCAATGCACTCTGTATCAAAATTCCAATGGCCACTTATGAAGAAATAAAAAAGCCAATAATCAAATTTACATGGAGTTTTAAGAGGCCACAAATAGCCAAAACAGCATTTAAAAAGAAATATAGTGCTTGCTTTGGCAGCACATATACTAAAATTGGAATGATACAGAGAAGATTAGCATGGCCCCTGTGCAAGGATGACTCGCAAACTCATGAAGTGTTCCATATTAAAATAAAATAAGTAAAAAGAAGAATAGAGTTGAAGAACTCACACAAATTGATTTCAAAAGTTACTACAAAGCTACAGTAATCAAAATAGTGTGATACTGGCATACTAACAGACATATAGATCAATAGAATAATATTGGGAGTCCAGAATTAAACTTATACATTTATGGCCAACTGATTTTCTACAAGCATGCGAACACCATTCAATATGAAAAGAATAGTCTCTTCAACAAATGATGCTGAGACAACTGGATATATACACACACAAAAATGAAGTTGGACTCCTACATCACAGGGGTCATCAAAATTAAAAACTTTTGTGCATCAAAGGACATCAGCAAGAAAGTGAATAAACAACCTACAGAATGGGAAAAAATATTTGCAAATCATATATCTGACAAAAAGCCTAGTATCTTCAATAGATGAAGAATTCTTACAACTCAACAACAAAAAGTCAATTGAAAAATGGGCAAAGATCTGAATAGAATCTGAATAGAATATGAATGATCTCTCCAAGGAAATATATAAATTGCCAATATTCACATACATGAGAAGATGCTCAACATCATTAGTCATTAGGTAAATGCAAATCAAAATCACAATCATGTACCACTTGAATATGTACTCACTAGGATAATTATACTTTATTCTTAATGAAAATAACAAGTGTTGGTGAAGGTATGGAGAAAGAACCCTTGTACATTGCTGATGGGAGTGTAAAATGGTTCAACCACTGTGGAAAATTGTTTGGCATTTCCTCAAAAAGTCAAACAGAGATTTACCATGGACCTAGCAATAATATGCAAAAGAATTGAAAATAGGTACTCAAACAAGTAAACATACACACAGGTTCAAAGCAGTACTATTCACAATAGCCAAAAGGTAGAAATAGTACAAATGTCCATCAACATAAGAATGGATAAACAAATTATGGAATATACTTAGAGTGGAATATTATTCAACCATAATAAGGAATGAAGTATTGATACATGCTACAATTTGTAAAACTTGAAAACAGATACTAAATGAAAGAAGCCAAATACAAAAGTCCGCATATTGTATGATTCCATTTATAGGAAATATTCAGAATAGGAAAATCCATACAGACAGAACACAAATTGGTAGTTACCAGGGGCAGGAGAAGGGAAAGATGGGGAACAACTGCTTAATGGGTACAGGGTTTCCTTTTGGAGTGATGAAAGTGCACAGCATCACTAATGTACTAAATGGCATTAAATTGTTCATTTTAAAATGGTTAATCTTGTCATATGTGAATTTTACCATAATTTTTTAAAATTATGCATAAAAAGAGAGAGATCCTTGAAATAATACCCCTTATGTAGATTATTGCCTTCCAGGAGGATTGTTTAAATGCTCAATTCCTGAAGTTTTATAATTTCTCCTCAGAGGACTTTAAAATAAGGTAATAATGCTATTTAATAGTCTTGAGTCCTTACTATGTATCAAGCATTATGTCAAAAAGTTATACATACAATACTTCCTTTAAACTTAATTATAGCCAAAATTGCCTTCAATTTAAAGAAGAAAAACTGAGGTATGGAGAGGTTAAACTGCCCAAAGTCACACAGACAGGAGGTAAATGGACCTCAGATGAGTATTCAGCTATTAACTATTCTTTAACAACAGAATTAAAGAAATATTTATTCAAATTCAAAACGTGTTTATTGAGAAGCTGTTAAATTGTGTTTTATTCAGTGTGGTTCACATAGCATTGATGGTACAAAAGATATCTGAAGCATATATGGATAAACATTTTAACAGATAGATTCCTTAAACTGCATTAAAATAAATGTATTAGATATCAAAACTATAACATCACAGATAGTACTAATTGACATAACACTAAAGTAAATAAATTTGAAAAGCTAATTTCATAAAGAAAACTATTAAAAATAATACCTAGCATTTATTGAACATGTATTATTTGCTAGGCACTGTTTTAAGGACTTTAGGCATATTAATGCATATATTCATGTATTTAATCAATTATTAATACAGTACTTGCATGTAAAAAATTATGATGGATCTATTCATTTATTGAAGGGTAGAAAATACTGGTATAATTAAAAGAAATAGCTTCTGTAGTTAGACCTGAATTTAACTCTGGGCTCTACCATTTAACAACTGTGACATGGCCAGGAAATGAAAAATTTTTAACTGATATACCTGTACATCGAAAGACATCAGACTATCAAAATAGACTTACTTTAAAAATAAATAAACTTCGGAGCGCCTGGGTGGCTCAGTTGCTTGGGCGACTGCCTTCGGCTCAGGTCATGATCCTGGAGTGCCTGGATCGAGTCCCGCATCGGGCTCCCTGCTCAGCGGGGAGTCTGCGTCTCCCTCTGACCCTCCCCACTCTCATGTGCTCTCTCTCATTCTCTCTCTCTCAAATAAATAAATAAAATCTTTAAAAAAATAAAATAAAATAAATAAATAAATAAATAAATAAACTTCTAGAAATAAAAATACAATTAAATCCCTGATGAACACAGATGTAAGAATCCTCGACAAAATATTAGCAAACCAAAATCAACAATACATTAAATACATCAAGTGAATTCAAGAATACACATGATAATTCACCATGATCAAGTAGGATTTATTCCAGGAATGCAAAAGTGTATCAATATTTGCAAATCTATCAATGTGATACATCACATTAACAAGAGGAAGGATAGAAACCATAAATAATCAATAAATGCAGAAAAATTATATGACAAATACAACATCCGTTCATAATAAAAACACTCAGCAAAGTGGATTTAGAGGAAACATACCTCAACATAATAAAGCCTACATATAAAAACCCACAGCTAACAACATATTCAATGGTAGAAGACTGAAAGATTTTCCTCTCAGGTCAGGAAAAAGACAAGGATGTCCACTCTCATCACTTTTATCCAACAAAATACTAGAAGTCCTAGCTGCAGCAATCAGGCAAGAAAAAGAAATAAAAGTCCTCCAAATTGGTAAGGAAGAACTAAAACTGTCACCATGTCCAGATAACATGATAGATACTATACACAGAAAACCCTAAAGACTCCACCAAAAAACTAGTAGGCTAATGCATAAATTTGGTAAAGTTGCGGTATACAAAATGAATATATAGAAATCTATTGCATTTCTGCACATAAATAACAAAGTAGCAGAAAAAGAAATTAAAACAATCCATTTACAATTGCACCAAAAATAAATAAACGTCTAAGAATAAATTTAACCGAGGAGGTGAAAAACCTATACTCTGATAACAAAAGGCACTGATGAAAGAAACTGAAGAAGACAACAGAAACAAATGGAAAGATCTACCATGCTCACGGATTGGAAGAACTGATATTGTTAAAATGTCCATACTACCCAAAGCAATCTACAGATTCAATGCAATCCCTATCAAAACACCAATAGCATTTTTCAGAGAACTAGAAAAAGAATCTGGAAATTTGTATGAAACTACAAAAGACCTTGAAAGCTAAAGCAATCCTGAGAAACAAGAACAAACCTGGAGGCATCACAATCCCAGATTTCAAGATATACTACAAACCTGTAGAAATCAAAACAGTATAGTATGGGCACAAAAATAAGACACATAGATCAGTGGGACAGAATAGAGAGTCCAGGAATAAACCCACATACATATGATGAATTAATCTATGACAAAGGAAGAATACACAATGGGGAGAAAACAGTCTCTTCAACAAATGGTGCTGGGAAAACTGGACAGCAACATGCAAAAGAATGAAACTGGACCACTTTCTTACACCATACACAAAAATAAACTCAAAATGGCTTAAAGACCTAAATGTGAGACCTGAAACCATAAAACTCCTAAATGAAAACATAAGCAGCAACTCTTGGACATTGGCCTTAACAACATATTTATGGATCTGTCCCTCAGGCAAGGGAAATAAAAGCAAAAATAAACAATTAGGACTACACCAAAATAAAAAACCTTTGCAGAGCAAAGGAAACAATCAACAAAACAAAAGGCAACCTACAGAATGGGAGAAGATATTTGCAAATCATTCATCTGATAAGGGTTAATATCCAAATATATGAAGAACTCACACAACCTAATATCAAAAAGAAACAAACAATCTGATTTTAAAATGGGCAGAGAACTTGAATAAGCATTTTTTGAAGGAAGGCATCCAGGTGGCCAGCAGGCACTTGAAAAGATGCTCAACTAATCACTAATCATCAGGGAAGTATAAATCAAAACAGCAATAAGATATCACCTATTATCTTTTAGATTGGCTATTATCAAAAACAAAAAATAACAAATGTTGGTGAGGATGTGGAGAAAAACTATTGATCACTGTTGGTAGGAATGTAAATTGTGCAGCCACTATGAAAAAAACATGGAGATTCCTTACAAAATTAAAAATAGAACTACCAGACAATGTAGCTATTCCACTTCTGTGTATTTATCTAAAGTAAATGAAAACAACAATTTGAAGAGATAGTGCACCCCTATGTCCACTGCAGCACCAAGATATGGAAGCAACCTAAGTGTCCATCCGTAGATGAATCCATAGATACATAGATATATAGATATATATATACACAATGAAGTATTAGTCATAAAAAAGAATGATATCTTGCTGTTTGTGATGACCTGGATGGACTCAGAGGGCATTATGCTAAGTGAATAAGTAATAAAGAGAAAGATAAATACCATATGATTTCACTCATATATGGACTCTAAAAAAAGAAAACAAAACAGAAACAGACTCATAAATACAGGATGTAAACTGTTGGTTACCACAGTGGGGAGGGTTTAAGGGTTGGGTGAAATAGGTAAAGGGGATTAAGAGACACAAACTTCCAGTTATAAAAGAAATACGCTTGGGGATGTAATATACAGCATAGAGAATATAGACCATAATATTATAATAACTTTAGATGGTGATAGATGGTAACTAGACTTATGGGGATCATTTCATAATGTATAAAAATATCGAATCACTGTGATGTACACCTGAA